ATTGTCACTGTGTTATTCCCGCGGATCCTCCGATAATTCAAAGGAATAGGTCTGCTCTCTCACTGAAAAGTTTCTGCAGTCGTGCAGAACGATGTGACTGACACCTCCTCCGTTCTCCACAGCCGAGCCGAAAAAATAAATTTGCAGAAATTAGTGACACTTCCAGTGATCTCTGTACCTGCCAATTAAAAAGTTTTTTTTTTTTCCTGTAGGGAGACAGAAATACATCATTCTAAATTTGTCCCGGAAAAAAAGACACACTGGAGTGATTCACTGTGATTAAAGCTGGCAACGCTGAGTAGATCACTGTTTTTTTTTGTTTGTTTTTTTCTTCTTCACACTTTTCTTTGTTCCGTATGCACGAGAGTCACTTTAAAAACATGGGTTTGAAAGAGATGTAGCTGCATCCAATTTTCACATTTGAATTTATTCAGACAAACCATATTGTACTTTCATATGCATCTAACATGTATCCTCCTCAGTCTTGAGATGGAAAACTTTACAAATTAACCAAATTTAGTAATTAAAAATGTCAGTTGCTGCATACACGTATAAGAAAATAATGATAAAAATAGTCAGTGTCCATTATATAGGACCACTGAGATTAATAGAAAAGATCAACCAAAAATGTGTCCATTTCTTTATTCATTACATTATGAATATTATTCACTTCATAGCAGTAGCATTTTATAATGCCATGTGTACAAAGATATTTCAGGTAAAAATATGGAATCATTAAAAAGCATAAGTTACTACATATTAATGCACTTTTCTGTCAGGCCAGAGGCAATAAGAGCGAGCTTTGCATTCAGAGCGTACCACAAAGCAGCTTTTAGTGTCACGACTGGAATGGAAATGGGGTTCACCACAGGTAATGGAGAAATGAACTCCCGTGTCAGAGGAATGGGCTCTCTACGCCACTCTCTTAATATCAGAGCAGAGCAGGACAATGGCAGAGCAACATCTGATTAGAGCGGCTGAGCTCCAACATTCTGTTTTTATGGGAACAGGATATTATGTGCCTTGAGTCTTGAAATCCACAAAGTCCTTAAATATATTGTAGGCCGGACATAAAAAATATCTATAAAAAAAAAGTATATATATATATATATATATATTACCAGTCAATAGTTTGTAATAATTACGTTTTTTTAATGTTTTTAAAAGAAGTATCTTATGCTTTCTAAGGCTGCATTTATTTAATCAAAAACACAGTAAAAACAGTAATATTGTGAAATATTATTACAATTTAAAATAGCTGTTTTCTATTTGAATATATATAAATTGTAATTTATTCCTGTGATGCAAAGCTGAATTTTCAGCATCATTACTCCAGTCTTCAGTGTCACATGCTCCTTCAGAAATCACTCTAATATGATGTTTTGCTCTTCAATATTCCTAATTATTTTTGTTGAATTTATTTTACCCCAAACTTTTAAATGGTAATGTATCACAGTTTCCACAAAAATATTAAGCAGCACAACTGTTTCCAACATTGTTAATAAGAAATGTGTCTTGAGCAAAAAAAAATTAATGTAACAACAATTCTAATACATTCTTATTTATTTACCATTAGTATTAATACATTTTAATAAATAATATCTCTTTTTTTTTTTTTTTTTTTTTTGTTATAAATGCCCACAACCATACAGAGGATAAGTGGTTTGGGAAATGAATGGATATATTTTACTAATGACAAAACACAAAAGCATATTTTAAAGTTATTATTGATATTCATGATGTTGCTTAATTGCATGTCAGAAACAAATTCATCATAAAAATATTCAGTGAATATTTGATATTTCTGTCGGTTTTCTCTTTCATGTCAACAACTATCATTGTGAAGCAATAGTTTGTTGAGGTTCTTGATGAGAAAGTTAGTTAAAGTTATTAAACTGTTGACATGTTTATAGCTAGCTACACTAATAACACATCGGTTTAATGTCACAGATATCTGAATTTAACTCTGATTACCCTTGTTACTGTATATAAAACAGGGACAGCGCTCATTTGTGCCTGTGTGTTTATGACATTTCTGGCCAGTGTGAGAGAATGTAAAGCAGCTGTTATTCAGATTATTGTCTGGACATGAATATGTAAACCTCTGCACTCAGTAGAGATTTGGAAGTGCTTAGAGCAAAAAAAAATAAGAAAGATTCATCTCTAGAAGATGAACTAGTTAATTCTAGGGAAAATATATGATTTATTGTGCAATGAATTTGCAATTATAATAATTATTTTGGTCTCTTATGTTGTGCCAGTTGCACACTATTAGTCAACAGGGGCCTTGCTAGCACTTAATTAGTATTCTCATCTTCTGTCTGTTAAGTGTCGGAGAATCATTGTGGTTACATGCTTACTCGCTGACATTTCCATGCCTTATGATGCTCAGATGCAAGCTGGTGATTATCCAATTCCCAGCCTGCGTTTGAGAAGCGTTGGTGTGAGAACCGTGAGCCTCCATTATCCAAGAGCCTCCTCTTCTGAGACACTCAAATATGATGTCAGCTCACAACTAATCAGTCTTCAAAGGTGTGCTGTGGGACTTCCGTTTGAGAATTTCAGCTCTGGCATTTCGCTCTGTTCCAAAACCTAGTGAGCTGCCTACTTGGAGAGCTGCTTCCTTCTAACCTCATTTTGGAAAAACACCTTGCCTGTCCCAGACTGAACCGGATCACTTCCATTGTGCCAGCTTATGGACCCCACATTTGTATTATGATGCACTAATGACATATTTTAGCCACTTTATTTCCTCTTGCCCATTTTAAATAAAATGATTTGATAGATAGATAGATAGATAGATAGATAGATAGATAGATAGATAGATAGATAGATAGATAGATAGATAGATAGATAGATAGATAGATAGATAGATAGATAGATAGATAGATAGATAGATAGATAGATAGATAGATAGATAGATTATTCTGTCATTTTTACAACAATGGATTTCAATTAGATTTTATGCTGTAAAGAGTTTCTTGTAATTTTACTGTTGCTTTAGTTTTGTGAAATTGTTCCCTCAGGATATTGGACCCTACTCAAGAAAATTGCCCATTTTTAATTATTTGTTTTAATTTAATTTAATTTAATTTAATTTAAAATTTAAATAGTTTTTATTAAATGCATTAATTAAATCCAAAAATATATTAACCCTTGTGTTGTGTTCAAAACCCTATAATACTTGTAATGTTCCAGGCCAAAAATGACCTGGCATTAAAAAATTGCTTATAAATCACTCATTATGGTATATTTTCACCAAATATTGGATTCAATCTTTTTGTCAACTACTTTTATTTTATTTAGGACTGGTTTTGTATTTATATTTTCTTCTGATTAATCGTAGGCCTCGTTTATCTGAGAGTAGGCACCTAATTTTTTGAGTGAAAAAAGCATTATTTATGAATAATTTTCACAATATTAAATAAAACTGATGAAAATTTGCACTGTTTATCGCACTAGTGTACTTTAATGGTTAATCGGGGAGTTTGTTTTGAACGGCTTTTATTTTGTACAAAATGGCACAAAGTCACACTTGTGGTGTTCCCGGTCAAGAATGACCCGGCCTCAAAAAATTGCTTATAAATCACTCATTATGGTATATTATTACCATATATTGGATTCAATCTTTTTGTCAACTTCTTTTCTTTCATTTAGGACTGGTTTTGTATTTATATTTACATCTGATTACTCGTAGGCCTCATTTATCTGAAAGTAGGCACCTCATTTTTTGAGTGAAAAAAGGATTATTTATGAATAATTTTCACAATATTAAATCAAATGTGGAGAAAATGTGCACTGTTTATCACACTAGTGTACTTTAATGTTTAATCAGGGAGTTTGTTTTGAAAGGCTTTTATTTTGTACAAAATGGCACAAAGTCACACTTGTGGTGTTCTCGGGCCAAAAATGACTGGCCATTCAGAGTGAATGGGAAAGATCACAAAAAAAAAGGACCTTTATTTTGAAATGCTTTTATTTTCTGAAAAGGGGCAAAAAGTAACACTTTTGCTGTTCTCTGTCAGATCTGAACATTGTGGCATACGAGAAAGAACACATTAAAGGGTTAATTCACCCAAAAATTCTGTCATTAATTACTCACCCTCATGTCGTTCAAAATCCGTAAGACCTCCGTTCTTCTTCAGAACACAAATTAAGATATTTTTGATGGAATCTGAGAGACGCAAAGAAAACAAAAATAACGACTTTATTCAATCATTCGTCTCCTCCGCGTCACCCTGTAGCGCCATTTTGGAGAGTATCCACTGAAGGTAAACAGCGTATGCTATTCTGTGTCAGCTGCGTCATGCGAATACGATGTCTACGTTGTTTACGCTTTGATTTGAATGAAAACAATGTATCTGCGTGACGCAGCTGACACAGAATAGCATACGCTGTTTACCTTCAGTGGATACTCTCCAAAATGGCACCAGGGTGACGCAGAGGAGACGAATTGTTGAATAAAGTCGTTATTTTTGTTTTCTTTGCGTACAAAAAGTATTCTCGTAGCTTCGTAAAATTACGGTTGAACCCCTGATGTCACATGGATTATTTTACCGATCTCCTTGCTACGTTTCTGCACCTTGATCGTGGTAATTACATTGCTGTCTATGGGAGGGTCAGAGAGCTCTCAGATTCCATCAAAAATATCTTAATTTGTGTTCCGAAGATGAACGGGGGACTTACGGATTTTGAACGACATGAGGGTGAGTAATTAATGACAGAATTTCCTGATCCTGATCCAATCAGGAACTCAGGAGCTTCTATTTTATTTACAACGCTGCCTTCGCTAGAAGTCCATGTAGACAGAAAGGCAGCTCACTAGGCTTTTCTGAAAATTGTCAATAACCTTTAATTACAAGTTTCCACAAAAGTGAATAATTTACAACCTTGTTTTTTTGGTTGCTTTCGTTACAGCTTGTCTCTCTCTCTCTCTCTCTTCTTTCACGTGTTCATTGTAGCCTTTTTTAATGAGAGATTTCTTATCCATTTCTCCACAGGTCAGCCTGTCCAACGACTCCAGCTGTGTGGAGGAAATTCTGCGGGTGAGTTAGATTGGCTCTCTTTCTCTCTAGCACGCTAATTACGTCTGGTCACCTACTCAGCGCCGTTTTACACACAATGGCACTTCGCTGTCATGAGAAGGGTTTGTTTTAATAGAGAAGCCCCATTACATTAAGACTAATGGTCCTATTGTTCCAGAATGTACCTTTAAAAATATGTTCATACAGGCTGAAGGCAGTGAAAATAAACCTGTCATGTTTCACATTATTTTAAATGTAACGGCAGTGAAACCCTCACTATGTTTATTGTTGGATACTCATTATGAGTCTTAATAGCTTTTAAAAAAAAAAATTGTTTACGTTTTGGTTAGTATGACATTTTTATTATTAGTCTAGAACGTCGTTATGATGTATAAATGTGTCATTCATAATAGTTCTTCACACTCGAGTGCGTGTTTTATACATTAATTAATGAAAAGTGCTATGATGCATTCTTAAAATATTCATTATGTACATTCTAAAAATCTAATTTAATCTATTACATTTTCTATAAATAGCTGTACCCAGTTACATAAATATTACAAATACATAATTCATATTCATACTCATGACTTTAAGGAGTATAATACTTTATAAAACATGTTAACATAACTTTTTTTATGGTTTAGCTTATTTATTTCTTTAGCAGTACATAATAAGACAAAATATAGGAAGACGACACCATAAATGCAAAACAAACAATACAATTTGGTATTGATCTTGAGTTTTAATGCATTACATTTTAAGGTTGAATCTGTAAGGATGTATTGTGAATGCATGTATATATCTATGATGCATTTTATATACACGCTTCATAGCAAGCCTTACCCATTAAGCTCCTCAAAATGTCTCTTTTTTGTAATGTTAAGACATGCCACCACCACAGTTATTAGTGTAAGTGAAGTGCAGTCAACTGACTCCTGTATTCTGTCAGTGAGGGCAGAGGCAGAACATGTTGCCAGGGCAACCCAGAGTACATCTGTCTGCTGAAGTGCGTGGTGGGATTGCTCAGAGGAACCGCTGTAGTCCCTCACACTTGAGCTGCGCTGATGTTGACTCACATGTGTCTCATGAATGAGGAGGTGTTTTGCTTCAGTCTCTATGACAAATCCACTGAAGAATCCTAGTGATGTCATAAAGAATAATTACTAGCTAATAGAGAAGAATCAAAATAACATATGTGACCCTGGACCACAAAACCAGTATTAAGTGTCAATTTTTCAAATAAGCTTTCCATTGATGTATGGTTTGTTAGGATACAATATTTGGCCGAGTTACAACTATTTGAAAATCTGGAATCTGAGGGTGCAAAAAAAAAAATTATGATACTGAGAAAATCGCCTTTAAAGTTGTTCAAATTAAGTTCTTAGCAATGCATATTACTAATCAAAAATTAAGTTTTGATATATTTACAGTAGGAAATTTACAAAATATCTTCATGGAACATGATCTTTACTGAATATCCTAATGATTTTTGGCATAAAAGTAAAATCTATAATTTTGACCCATACAATGTTTTTTTTTGGCTATTGCTACAAATATACCCCAGCGACTTAAGACACTGAATTATTTTTTTTTCTGATGAGAACTTCTGTATCATAGTAAACTAAATTCCAAAAAATCGTCCAGCAGATAGACAGACAGACAGACAGACAGATAGACAGATAGATAGATAGATAGACAGATAGATGATAGACAGACAGACAGACAGACAGACAGACAGACAGATAGATAGATAGATAGATAGATAGATAATTAATTTCAGCTAACATTTGTCATTGTAATTTATTTAAAATAAATTTAAAATAAATATAACTAAAACTTCATAAAAAATGAATAACTACTAAAATTGACAAAAACACAGAGCAAAATTACTAAAACTTTAGTAAATATAAAAATAAATAAAAACTGATTCAAAATATTAATAAAATCTATAATAGTAGATCAGTGATACTAAAATATGGCCAAGAACATATGCAATGTATGGAATTGGAATTAGAATTAGAATTAGAATAAGAATTAGAATTAGATTTAGAATTAGAATTAGAATAAGAATTAGAATTAGAATTAGAATTAGAATAAGAATTAGAATTAGAATTGGAATTAGAAAGCACAAATGTCACTTGACAAAATTACTTTACAGATTGTGATTCAAGTGCTGCTTCAGTTTATACGCTGTCAAAAATGTCTTGCCAGGTAACCTAAAAATATGTGTTTCATGCATTAAAAAGTATCTTGTGAAATGTAAGATGCAAGAGAATATTACTGTCGAAGTCTAAATATTACTTGTCAAAGAGCTAGGCATGAGCCAGGATGGTCAACTCGTCGATTAGGGAGGTTGAGTAGTTTATTTATTCAGGTTTTTGTTTTAGCTTTAATATTTTTGTCAGCAGCAGCACTTTAAAGGTAATGAATTCAGAGAGGAAGGTGGGATGGTAGCCTGCTGAGAGCGTGTGCTTCAGTGTGCTTATGGTAAACTCTGAGAGAAGTCACATCTCCAAATTCAGCTCCTTTAAAGCAGCACCCCTGCAGCCATCAAAGCGTCACCTTTTTAACCATTCCAACACATTCAACAATACATTTTGTATGGGACTTTAAATAACCTGCTGTGAGCAATGTTGCTTATGCATAACACAAGTTTCTGTTTTGGTTTGAACTGTGATAGTTTTGCGCAACAAAAGGTTACAGGTATTTAGCCTATATATTTGTTGAATATATGTAATTTACTCTATTATCAGGCAGAGCAGTTTACTCTGGTTATTTTAATGTAAATTTATGCACACATGTAGATAGACGTTTTTGTTCAATGTTGTGTTTTAAGACAACGTACAAACTTTAAAACAGTTCAAAAGTAGTTTAGCTTTTAAGAATGTGTCTTGAGACCTCTACTGTTCTCTTCTGTAAAAAAACAAAAAAACAAAACATATATCTAGAGATGATTATAAAAAATTGTTATTTGGCATATCCCTACAAAGAAGGTTAAATTATTCATACTTTAATAATTTACGTTTTTTATTCATATTTTAATCATTTGAGTTTAATACTCAAATATTTTGAAATATTATTACAATTTTAAAATTGTAATCTAAAAAATCTATAATAATAATAATATATTCCTGTGATGTAAAGCTGAATTTTCAGCAACCATTACTACAGTCTTCAGTGTCATGATCTCATGTTCTTACAGAAGTTGCTGCATTTTTTATTATTATTATTATTAGTATTAGTATTATTATTATATTATTTGATTAGTTTTATCATTTACAGTATATGAAATATACTGTATTTTTTTATCTTATTATTTTTTAAGTCTTTACGATCACATTTAATCTATTTAATGCATCCCCACTGAATAAGATTATTAATTCCTTTCACACACACACACACACACACACACACAAACTTACTGACCCCAAAGTTTTAAATAGTAGTGTGTCATGCAATAAGCGCAAACCTCTGTTCTTCTGAAAGACAGTAGACACTGCATCAAATGTCCATGTATCTCCTGTTATCAAAGAGGTCCAAGAAATGAAGTGATTATTCATGGAGAGAAAGGCTAAGCCATCAGCACATATTCCAAACAGCAGAAAATCCTGATCCAGGCTCATGCACACATTCCCATTACATAACTTAAGGGTCATAAAACATCTTAAACAGTGCCAGGTTGAGCAGATTTGCAGCTTTAGTTCGATGCAGTTGGATGTTATAGTGCCTGAGAATATATTAATGACAAATGTCCGGCATTAATGATAATAAATGATGATGATAATAATAATAATAGCTGGATTAAAATCAGTGTTTTTTTATGTTAGTGCTCTATATTTTTATATGTAAACAATATTACACTTTATACTGTGAGTTAATGTCGTTTGTGTTCGTCTGGCAGATCCTGAGAAGATCATGAATGTTTTGCAGCGTGTTGCTTGACTGGAAATCAGATGAGAGCATGCAGGCACACTTTAACCACTTAACACACTGTGTCATGTGTGCCGAGATGTTCCTGTCTGTCAAACTTCTGTGCAGAGAATACAAGTCTGTGAATGTTGCGTTAGATATAATATATCAAATGCTGCAGGAGCTTTTCTCAGAACTGCTTTACCTTTTATGAGCCATTCTTGCAATAACTTTTAATCAACTGGTGATTTTTAGTAGATGTGTGAAGTTCACATTCATACATACTTAAAGAAACAGCTCACCCAAAAATTATATGAAAATGTACTCACCTCAAGAAATGTAGCATTACATCACTTGTTCACCAATGGATCATCTGCAGTGAATGGGTGCCGTCAGAATGAGAGTCCAAACAGCTGATAAAAACATCACAATAATCCACAAGTAATCCACACCACACCAGTCCATCAGTTAATGACTTGTATAGTGAAAAATGCTTGTTTGTAAGAAACAAATCCATCAAGAGGTTTTGACTTTAAACCAACGCTTCTGGACAAAATATAAGTCCATAATCCACAATAACACTTCCTCCAGTGACAAAGTCCATCCCCTGTTGTCTCTCACATCAAAACCCACAACACATTTCTTTAGATCTGTTTTGGACTGTTTTCACTTGTAAAAGGTGCTTGATCTGTGCATATTTCTCTCCTGATTCAGATGAGACAACTGAATGGAGTTAGTGTTATTATGATATTACGGTGTTATTACAATGGATGTATTTCTTACAAACAAATAGCTTTTTGCCTCACAAGACATTAACTGATGCACTGGAGTGGTGTGGATTACTTGTGGATTATTGTGATGTTTTCATCAGCTGTGTGGACTCTCATTCTGACGGCACCCATTCACTGCAGAGGATCCACTGGTGAACAAGTGATGTAATGCTACATATCACAAAATCTCTTCAGCTGAAGAAGAACTATTTTGTGTGAACTATTCCTTTTAAGTATAACTTAAACACTTCTTGGGGCCACTGTAACTGCAAATGAAGATAAAGGACCATAAAAAGGAAGAGTAAAGGAAAATACATAACTCGTGTTTAGTATGTAATACGAATGTAGCAGTTTACTAACATTTGTATGTACACTAAAGGTTGTCAGAACGAAAAGTTTCCCATCTGAGCACAGATATGTGTGGGATGTATAGCTGAGCTGTCCGAGAAGCGTAAGAGTAAACAGTCTCTGATCCGGCCTGCTCATGTTTGGATAACCTTGTTTGGCTCCAGGAGCAACGCTCCGTTGCTTTTAATAAATTTAATTTGCAACTCCAAGCTTCCACAGCCATGCCTCGCCCCCACTGAAGCTCGGAGAAATGAATGGATTTTGTATGCATTTTTCTGGAATGCAATAACACAGGTTTTCTTGGGAGAGAGTGTGCTGCACTTGCCCCGGAGATTTTACAGAATTCCTGCGTGTGATGTCCTTCGGCAAGATGGCAGTTTGCTTGAAAGCAAATGTAATAAATAAGCTCTCTTCTGAGGGATTATCTGTGATCGTTTGCCATCATCATTTTCAGTGTCACTTCTGATAATTGAACAAGAGGTTTGCTTATGTACTTATGCTCTTAGGATACCTTCATCCTGGATTTCCCACTGGATACATGTTGATAATTGATAATATTGTGTGGTTTGTGCTTTCATACAATTGATTATTGCTCTTTTAGCTTCTGCATCTCTGATTATGTTTAGCCTTGGATTTTCATCTGTGCTCACAAGTTACTGATTCATTTCAACAACAAGTAATACTGTATGTCTGTCCATCTGTGTGTGTTACTATAATAACTATTACTCGCTCTCTCTCTCTCTCTCTCTCTGGATTTTTGTCAACACTACAGAGCATTAGTCAACATCACTGAGTTATCATTGCATAAACCGCTATTGCTAATTATAGAGCTTGCAAGGGGCTGTCTATTACTTGCGTAGCCTCCTTATAAAGCAGTGTCCTGAGTGAACCTGATCTGAAACACACACATACAAACAGTGCTTCTCACAAGAGAAACTTTTAGTGCAATTTTGTGTTAGCTAGTTTGGCAACATGCTAACAAAAACTGGCATAAACATACACAGCACACACAAAACATAGAGTAAAATAGACATTTACTAATTAGTTTGAAATATTTTATTAATACTTTTCACTGTTGAATGCAGTATAGTACATATATTAATAACTGACATTAGGCTTGCTGCGATAGACGGTGCTGACGGTGATAAGCCGCAACACTCCCAGTGTCGTTTTGATTTTTTATAGTAATAAAATTAATTTAGTTCAGTAAAAGAACAGACACTACAATTAAAAACTGAACGCGGCTGCTCAATGCAGCGTGCCGAACGACAGTCGCATCACAGATCAGATTTAATTTC